AGCATGTCAACAACACAGCAATTTTCTACAGAAAAGTCGACTACACAACAATCAACTTCAAAAGAATCGACAACAAAAGACGAGTTAACTACTATTCCATCAACTACAAAACAATCAACAACAGAGGACTCGACTACAGGAGACGGGTCAACCACAGGCGCGTCAACAACACAAGAATCAACTACAGGTGGAGCTACTACACAACAGTCTACGTCAACAGAACAGTCAACAGAACAATCAACAACAGCAGACCAATTGACGACAATTGCGTCAACTACAAAACAATTAACAACAGAGGACTCGACTACAGGAGACGGGTCAACCACAGACACGTCAACAACACAAGAATTGACTACAGGTGCATCAACTACACAACAGTCTACGTCAACAGAACAGTCATCAGAAAAATCAACAACACCAGATCAGTCAACAACAATTTCCTCAACTACACAACAGTCAACTACAGTTGAGTCAACATCTATAGACGAGTCAACGACAAGCATGTCAACAACACAGCAATTTTCTACAGACAAGTCGACTACACAACAATCAACTTCAAAAGAGTCGACAACAGAAGATTTAACAACAAATGAAGAGTTAACTACTATTCCATCAACTACAAAACAATCAACAACAGAGGACTCGACTACAGGAGACGGGTCAACCACAGGCGCGTTAACAACCCAAGAATTTACTACAGGTGCATCAACTACACAACAGTCTACGTCAACAGAACAGTCAACAGAAAAATCAACAACACCAGATCAGTCAACAACAATTTCCTCAACTACACATCAGTCAACTACAGTTGAGTCAACATCTATAGACGAGTCAACGACAAGCATGTCAACAACACAGCAATTTTCTACAAACACGTCGACTACACAACAATCAACTTCAAAAGAGTCGACAACAGAAGATTTAACAACAAAAGACGAGTTAACTACTATTCCATCAACTACAAAACAATCAACAACAGAGGACTCGTCTACAGGAGACGGGTCAACCACAGATGCGTCAACAACACAAGAATCAACTACAGGTGCAGCTACTACACAACAGCCTACGTCAACAAAGCAGTCAACAGAACAATCAACAACAGCAGACCAATTGACGACCATTTCCTCAACTACACAACAGTCAACTACAGTTGAGTCTACATCTATAGACGAGTCAACGACAATCATGTCAACAACGCAGCAAATTTCTACAGACAAGTCGACTACACAACAATCAACTTCAAAAGAGTCGACAACAAAAGACGAGTTAACTACTATTCCATCAACTACAAAACAATCAACAACAGAGGACTCGACTACAGGAGACGGGTCAACCACAGATGCGTCAACAACACAAGAATCAACTACAGGTGCAGCTACTACACAACAGCCTACGTCAACAGAACAATCAACAACAGCAGACCAATTGACGACAATTGCGTCAACTACAAAACAATTAACAACAGAGGTCTCGACTACAGGAGACGGGTCAACCACAGGCGCGTCAACAACACAAGAATTGACTACAGGTGCATCAACTACACAACGGTCTATGTCAACAGAACAGTCAACAGAACAATCAACAACACCAGATCAGTCAGCAACAATTTCCTCAACTACACAACAGTCAATTACAGTTGTGTCAACATCTATAGACGAGCTAATAACAAGCATGTCAACAACACAGCAATTTTCTACAGACAAGTCGACTTCACAACAATCAACTTCAAAAGAGTCGACAACAGAAGATTTAACAATAAAAAACGAGTTTACTACTATTACGTCAACTACAAAACAATCAACAACAGAGGACTCGACTACAGGAGACGGGTCAACCACAGATGCGTCAACAACACAAGAATCAACTACAGGTGCAGCTACTACACAACAGTCTACGTCAACAGAACAATCAACAACAGCAGACCAATTGACGACGATTGCGTCAACTACAAAACAATCAACAACAGAGGACTTGACTACAGGAGACGGGTCAACCACAGGCGCGTCAACAACACAAGAATTAATTACAGGCGCATTAACAACAAATGAAGAGTTAACTACTATTCCATCAACTACAGAACAATCAACAACAGAGGACCTGACAACAGGAGACGGGTCAACCACAGGCGCGTCAACAACACAAGAATTGACTACAGGCGCATTACCTGCACAACAATCTACATCAACGGAACAGTCAACGGAACAATCAACAACACCAGATCAGTTGACGACAATTTCCTCAACTACACAACAGTCAACTACAGTTGAGTCAATATCTATAGACGAGCCATCAACAAGCATGTCAACAACACAGCAATTTTCTACCGACATGTCTGCTACACAACAATCATCTTCAAAAGAGTCGACAACAGAAGATTCAACAACAAAAGACGAAGTGACTACTTTTACGTTAACTACAAAACAGTCAATAACAGAGGACTCGACTACAGGAAACATGTCAACCACAAGTGCATTAACTACACAACAAGTGACTACATTTGCCTTAACTACACAACAGTCAACTACAGTTGAGTCAGCCTCTTTAGACGAGCCAACGACAAACATGCCAACTTCACAACAATCAACTTCAAAAGGGTTGACAACGAAAGAATTAACAACTGCAAACCAATCGACTATTAATTTATTAACTACTCAACAATCAACAACAGAGGAATTTGATAATGAAAAACCAATGATTGTTTCTTGTAATGATGAAGGCATTCGTCAGGGAACAGACAACGGCTTTAGCACAGCACGCGTGACATGGATTGACCCAAATGTTACGGACAATTCAGGCTTTGATAGACTTACTATTACGAGTAATTACCAATCAGGTATACTCCTGGCGGTAGGCTTTTATAATGTAACCTACACATATTCCGATATAGCAGGAAACAACGCTACCTGTACATTCAATGTAGAAGTTTATGGTATGTTTGGAAATAGAAATCTTGTTTTTGGACTTTAATAATTGTAGCATTGTTTCTATCATTTATCTGTGTGCTTAAAAATCAGTTAATTTACATAATAAATACATTGTCGAAAAGTTAAATATTATGGAAAAAGTGCTTAAACACAGGAACAGAATATATAATATATAATATTTTATTAAGCATAGCTCGTAAACGGATGTGTTTCATGCAAATGTTTGAGAGAAATTGGCCTTGGGTAGACCTGCGCGTATTTTCTATATAATAGTTGTTGCAGGTTCAATATTTTTGTTCATACTGAATAACGGTAACTTTTTATTGAAGGACTGTGCTTGATACGATTATAACATTTTATTTAATCGAACACTGTTATTATTATTTATTTGTATATATATATATATCTGTCTCTTATACACATCTCGATGTGTATAAGAGAATGTATAATGGCATTTAAACGTGCATATTGTTTAAAATAACAGATGACGAACCACCAACACTCACCTGCCCTGAAAACCAAGTGCATCAGCTGTCAGTAGGGGAATCTACCATCGCAGTAAATTGGACCGAGGCGACAGCAACAGACAATGTGCAGTTATTGAATATAGAGTTGATATCATTGATCAAACCGGGAAAATATGGGACCGGTAGTTATGAAGTTCTATTTGCAGCAACAGATATTTATAACCTCACAGCCACTTGCTCATTCTCAATTACTATTGAAGGTACACAATGTCTATTTTATACGCCTACATACATAGTTCAGTGTAATAAACATTCACCTATATCACAATGCCTACATTTGTCGCCTTTCACATATTCGTTATTCAAATTAATTTTTATTCATGTATTGTAACGTAAATGCTCGAATAAGCGCCGCTTTCGATTAACCGCTCTCGAATAAGCGCCACACTAAACATGATTTTTTTTTTTATAAACGCCGCCCTTGAATAAGCGCCGCTCTCGAATAAGAGCCGCTTTTCAATAAGAGCCGCACTGAGGCCTCCAAAAATTTTATTCAAGCATTTACGGTAATAATATAATTAACATAGCAGGTGTATATTAATGAAATAAAAATACATGTTTGTTGAATAGACCTTTCTGCTGGATATTGGTACAGTTGTTCCTCAAAACGACAGCGAAAATTTATGTAAATGGGTGAGTTTTGTAATGGGAGACAACGCGTGCGTTTTTCAGACGAGGCTTTTTTAATACCTTGTTTAGCGAGCCCACCGCCCAGCAATAATGATGATTTCAAATATAAGTTTATTTTTGGCTAATTAGCGCACCCGGCGCTACAATAAAATTGAAATTTCCGGGGAAAAAAAATAGATTTTCTATATTATGACGCTCGCTGCTGCCTTGAATTCTCCAAAAAATATGTTATGTATATTTCTTCCTAATTATATAAATTTAAAGCATTTAACCATCACATTACGACACTGTTTACATTCACCAATGAAATTTTATTTTTATTTTCTCCTCCGTCTGGATGCCTTTGGCAAAACTATTTGTTTTCTATCTTTCTCCTGCGATCATTAAAAAAAGAATAGGTTCGCGAAACAAGCTATAAAAATGTCACGCCTGAGTTTTATTGACACTCCAGAAAGGTCTATTGAATTAAAAATCTAATATTGCATGAAAGCTTATCATATACAACAGACGTTTTCTGTTCTGTTTGTTAGACTTGGAGTGTCCTAACACTTTCCGTCGATGTCCCGTAACAAACGGAGAATGTATTCCTCTACATTACTTCTGTGATAAAAAGATGGACTGTCCCGACTGGTCAGATGAGAACGAAATTTCATGTGGTAAATTAAAGTGTACAATATTGATATATACAGGAATTATATATGCTACCGTACCTTTTAAAAGCATATATGTTGCAGATACTCATGTACTGATGAAAGTACCGAAAATTTGGCAGTAGTAATATTCATTGTAATTTAAACTAAGTCATATATATATATACTGTCT